TCAATTTGTAAATATCGAAAGTCTGTACCTCAAAAACAGAAGGTTGATATTAAATTACAAACTAATTGAAGAATGATATTTAATCTGCAGTCTACAAAAATTTTACACATACATAATTGTTTTATTATTATGTTGCTAATTGTTTTGGATTTTGGAAAAAGTCAAAGAACTTAAAAAAAAAAATTCATCCATCCATCCACCCTATATAATTTCTGAATACGCTGAGCCTACGTGGTTGCTTCTGGTGTTTCGGAATTCTACTTGGCGAAAAATCATGCTTCGTAATTAGGTTTGGACAAATAATATTGATATATTAATAATTAATAATCTAGGTTCGGACATTCCATAAATATTATTTAGCTAACTTAGGTATTTTAATATCACTTGTACTAATATAACCTTTAATTCTTTGTAATTTTACACTAACTGACTAATATATCTCTGACTTTTGATTTGTTTCTTTCAATTAGCTATTGAATTATAAATGTATTTTAAAAGTTGATAACTTTTGTATTTCTTATCAGTTTTACATATATAATATATCAAATTAATCGTCTTTTCATGATCTTCGATTTGACATCCATATTGTATATATAAAATAAATAAATTATATTTATCTTTATAATAATAAAAATAATAATATTTATTAAAATTTATTAGAAAAATAAAATTATTTTTCAGTGATATATTTATTTTAATGTAGTTATATGTTGTAAGTTAAAAAAAATTATTATAATATAATACAAGTAAATCACAAAAATAAAATGTGTCATACTAGATACATAATAATATATATATTTTAATCAAAGGTATTTAAATTTTCAAATATTTTTTCTCATTAATTTTAGATTTTTAAAGAAAAAATTAGTAAGCATCCGTGTAATACACGAGCGTTTTGTACTAGTAATAATAGAAAATCTCATCGTCCTTTTGTTAACAAACCAATAAATAATATGAAATGTCAACCTGCAGTGCGGCTATGCCATAACAAACATTTATTTGACTAAGATGTTTGTACCAATTTGAGCTGGTACCAATTAGAATAATAAGAATAAGATGTTTGTATTTGAACTGGTCGTTATTGTGAGATTAGTACTTATATGAGATACATATAGGGTCAACTCAACCTGAGAAGCGGTTTAATCTAACAAAGTGAACCAACAAGTCGACTGGAGATCAAGTATACTAGAGGTCGTCGGAGGATCAGGTCAATGGTGACTCCACAAATAAGAAGACTCGCCAACAGGTCCAGCTAGGACCATCAGATGGTCGGACGGAAACTCGATATCAAGGTATACATGTCGATGGATTGATCAGAGAGATAGAGTGCATGAACACAATGATGAGACAATTTAGCTCAAGGGAAGTCGAGGTGGTAGTATAATTGGACCGTCTAACAAGGTACACTAATGGATAAGAAGAACTATAATTAAGATAAGAACCAGACATGAAATGGACCACGTGACCTAACATTATTTGGCAGTCCGGGCACTAGGGTAGCTCATCTGGAATATTGGACAACAAGGTAACACCCCTATATAAAGGGGTCATGTATGTCCATTTACACTCTGCACACTATCATATACTTGCAACCTCGTACAATATTGTTCATCATCTTCCTCAAACACCTTTTGACTTGATCGTCGGATGTTCTATGCTAAGGAACACTCTCTACGTTGTTTTGCATGTTTATCGAACCTGTCGAGAGCAGATATAGGTTATTCGTATCTGGTTGAAGTTGTTGTGCACACCATTTTGGCGTATGTGGGACAATATTTCCAAAAGCCTTCAAACACCATCATATACTTACAAGTTTATACAATAATGTTAACCATCTTCTCTATACACTTTCTGACTTGATCGTCGGAGATACTAAGCCAGGACAACTTCTGGTATTGTTTTGCAGATCGATCAAACCAGTGGAGAGCAAATCTAGGTCGTTCGAGCCCGGTCAAACTTGTTGTGCACACCAAGTATTCAATTTGAGTAGCCACGATATTAAAGACTAACGAGTCGAGTCAAATCCAAGTATTAGCTAGTTTTATTGATCTGAGGAGATAAATGAAAGCGAGACGTTTATCAATTTTAACGAATTGAACTGGAGACTGAATGAACTGATTATACACAAATCACATAAAAAGTCAACCCGATCTTTAGTGTTTGTGTTTTATTATCAAGTCGAGCTGATGCTCGAGCAAGATAAGCTCGTCAAGCTCAAGCTCAGGGACGTGTAGGTATACAAAAATCAAATATGACTCAATACCATCAATGGTCGACCCGGCCCAAGACTAGTCTGCAGCGCTAGTGGGTTTTCGCAAGCGGGCCCACGAAAACTACCTGTAAAACGCAACAGTCCACAAACCTCAAAGGAAAAAGACTCGCGGTTGACCAATTGCAGCACGACTTCAAGGTTAAATCTGACACACACACATACAGACAAAGTAAATAAATAAATAAAACGACTTTAAAGTTAAATGCGACACATACACACACAAAAAATAATAAATAAATAAAATAAAATCGCACAAAGTCGAACAAAATCATTTTGTAAAACTGTGTCGTCACACCTCACACCCTATATCAAATAATGCGAGAAGAAACTCCGATGGGCAATGGCTGCCTTCACATTCTCATCGGCAGTGCCCTTCCTTCACTCCCATCGGATTTTCTCAAATTGTTATCCTTCCGGAAATACCTTTCTCAGTTCCTTCTATTCTCGTCCCTACCCCGCCGTTATCTCTTCCTCCGGACGCCGTAGTCTCAGATCGCCGCTCAATCGTCGCCGTCCGAGCGTCGTCGTATCGGCGCTGAAGAAGCTGTCCGATTCCGAGCTGGTGGAGGTATCTTTCGCTTCCGATGGTATATTACCCTCCGGGGCCGGCGTCTACGCCGTCTACGATGGCGACGGCGAGCTTCAGTTCGTCGGCAAAACGCGGAACCTCGCTGCCAGTGTCCTCACTCGTAAGAAATCGGTGCCGGAGCTCTGTTTCTCCGTGAAGGTACCAAAATTACTTTATCAATTCTTCTGTTTTGGAAATACTTCATTGTTTCACATTTTTTTTATTTTTTTTTTTGTCAAAGTGTGGCTTAATTGCCGTTTTTGCTTTGATACATGGAGTTTGGAAATTCACACATTATTGTGTTAGACAGCCTAATCATTAGGCAATTCGGGTCAAATCTTTGATGAGTTCATCATCTATGATCGAGGTGGGAAAACTTCGGCTATGTATCCCTCATCTGTACCGAATTATTTTGGGAGGTCTTATATCTGAGGTAGTGTTTGGTTTGAGGGATTTGGAGGGGAGTGGATGGAGAATTTTAGTTTTCACTTGTTTGGTTGCGGAAGGGGAGGGAGATGAAAATTTCAAGTACTCCCCTCCTTCCCTTTTCCTCCCCTCCAAATCTCTCCAAATTTTGGAGGGGAAGTGTTTTAATATGATGTGAAATGGTTTTAGTCCCTCCTTTCAATTGTTTTTTATTTTTTTATCTTTTTTCATTAAGAATAAATTTGTCATTTCAATTTTATTTTCCATCCCCTTTAATTTTTTAACCAAACAAATGTTCACCATTTTCCCTCTCTTCCCTTCTTAAATAATCCCTCGAAACAAGGTAAAATTATTTTACATCACCTCCCCTCCAATCCCTTTCCCTTCCATTAAAATCTCTCTTCCACCCCTCTCTTCCCCTCCATTGAACCAAGGTCGAAAGATTGGAAAAAGTCATACATTTATAACAAAATTGCATATTTATGTTGTTTTTTAGAGCATCGTATTTCAATTTGAAAAAGTTCATCTCTCTGTTGAAGAAGTAATGATTAACCGATAAACAGACAGCCTTATTGTTGAGATTTTGATGCTGGATTATTTTTAGTTCAACCGAGGTAATTATGAACCAAGCCTGGGAGCTGTGCTTTAATTTTAGAAAATTGTTGTCATTGAAAAGATCTGAGTCCAAGATGGTTAATGGGTAGAAACAATCATATGAACAGAAAGGAATTTAGATAAAACAGCCTTGATACCAGGAGTTTGGAAGTAAATAAAAAAAAAAAGTATGATCGTCTAACCACATTAGGTCTAACCAGAAGTATAATTATTGTTGAGGATTAGTTGCTGTATTATTTTGTTTAGCTCAATCTGGGTATGGGTAATTATGAACCAGGCATGGGAACTGATCTTTAATTTTTGAAACTTATTGTCAATGAAGTCCAAGCTGGTTAACTGTTAGAAACAATAGTATCATCTGGACCAAATTTTGGTAAAGCAGCCTTATTCAATGCCAAATTCTGATAGTGAAACAGGCCATTGCTCGAAAATTAGTTGACTTCTCAATTGATCAATGTGCTAGTGTTCGAAAAGTAATCAGTTAATGGCACATTCACGCATGAAAAGAGGCCATGATGTGGAAAAGAATCATGATCTATGTAGCTCCACCCAAGGGAACAAGGCTGTGTAGAGATACACTTCATTCAGTCTAGTGACATATAGACTATAGAGTTCTCTCTTGTTCCATCTTGCCAAAACATCTTCTATTTCCGCAGGTCGCGGAGGTAGAGGATCCCGACAAAAACGCGCTAACCGAAGCATGGAAATCGTGGGTGCAAGAGCACATAGACTCAACGGGCAAAGTCCCACCGGGAAACGAACCTGGAAACTCAATGTGGGTCAGAAATGCCCCACATAGAAAGGCCATCCTCGAGGGCCAAGGGGTGGATTATGAAAGTGTGGACGTGCTTGATGACGAGCATAATCGAGGGCTTGGGGAGACTTTAAAGAGGTATAGCAACTGGCCCACGTTTTTCCTCAGGTGTTTAAAAGCTTGACATGAATCAGAACAAAATATTTAAAATATATCTGTTTTTACAGACTTACGCGAACATCCATTCCCCCATGATTTAGATTGATAATCCATTGAAATGAGTCTGAATAAGAACTTACTAGTTACATGATAGGTACGATGACATGAAATTTGATAGAATGAATGAGTTAGAAGAATGAAATGATTATCAGATGAACGAAACAAGTTTCTCCATTGATTTGATGTGTTTGGTAAAGGAATAAGACTTTAACTGAATAATGTTATCATCCTATATTACCATTATCAATATTTTATTTTAAAAAAAAGGCCAATTTAATGTTATTTCTTATTCATGAAATATTAAATATTACTTCTATTGTTTTAAAATTTAATATATATGAACTAAACATTTTTACGTAAATCCCTATAAGCATATTTCTGCACTATACTTTCTCAGATTGGTGGGAAAAGTAGCATTGGTGACTGGTGGGGCCAGCGGCATAGGCGAGAGCATCGTGCGCCTGTTCCACGGACACGGCGCCAAGGTCTGCATAGCCGACATCCAAGACAACTTGGGACAGAGCTTGTCCCGCGACTTGGGCCCACACGTCTCCTTCATCCACTGTGACGTCACTGTCGAGGACGACATCAGCCGGGCCGTCGACTTCGTCTCCCAACGTTTCGGGCCCCTCAACATCATGGTCAACAACGCGGGCATCGGGGGCCCTCCCTGCCCAGACATCCGTGACTGCGACCTCTCGGTTTTCGAGCACACATTCGACGTGAACGTGAAGGGTGTGTTCCTCGGGATGAAGCATGCGGCCCGGGCCATGATCCCAGCCCGGAAGGGCTCGATAGTGTCTTTGAGCAGCGTGGCGAGCGTGATTGGGGGGGTGGGCCCGCATGCGTACACGGGGTCGAAGCACGCGGTCGTTGGGCTGACGAAGAGCGTGGCGGCCGAGCTGGGGAAGCACGGCGTACGGGTCAACTGCGTGTCGCCCTACGCGGTTGCGACGGGGCTGGCGCTGGCTCACCTGCCGGAGGAGGAGAGGACGGAGGACGCGTGGACCGGGTTCAGGAACTTCGTGGGGGCCAATGCGAATCTGCAGGGGGTGGAGCTGACCGTGGATGATGTGGCGAATGCGGTTCTTTTCTTGGCGAGTGACGAGGCGAGGTATGTGAGTGGGGTCAACCTCATGGTCGACGGCGGGTTCACGTCGTCCAATCATTCGCTTCGGGTTTTCAGATGAATATAAGATTCTCACTCTTTTTACTTTTTTTTTATTAAAATATATATACTGTTTTCATGTGGCGACGTGTGATTCATATAGCCGACTCCACTCCACGTAGTGGTGATTTAACGGCTTGTTGATTGATTGATACTATTTTCATGTGGTTTAGGTTATGTCGGGGAAAGTTATTTGAGGGTGGGATGTTTCCCCAGCTGCAGGGTGTATTATTTGAATTGTATTTGTGCACATTATCTGTTTGTTCGTTTGTGGGAATTTCATCAAGTGTTATTCTTCGTCCCATGTTAATGAAGAAAGCAAAATTCATATAGGAACAATACAAATTTAGTTATGCAAGAGCACGGGGCACGTGTCAAGATTTACAAGTCGTTTGCAACTTTGCATGTGCATAATATATAGTTTATGATGTAGTTTTACTTGAGCAAAAAGCAAAATTCATATGGGGACAAATTTAGTTATGCAATAGGACAGGGCAGGTCAAGGTTTACAAGTCGTTTGCATATGCACAATATATATTTTTTTGGGTACAAAGAAGGAGGCCAAAGGCCTAAGAGTTAGACAAAAATACGTCGGGGATACGACACCTCTATAATATCATGTTGAAGTCATTCCCCTAAACTAGTAGGCGGCGTCGCAAGCACATGGAGACCGATTGGATAAGATGAAGCAAGGCCTGTTAGATGATCTGCTGTAAAATTCGCCATGCACAATATATATTATTTATGAATTATGATGTAGTTTTACTTTACCAAGACGCAAAATTCATATGGGAACAAATTCAGTTATGCAATAGGACAAATCACTGGTCAAGATTTACTAATCGTTTGCACGTGCACAATATATAATGTTTATGATCTAGTTTTACTTTAGCAAACTATAATAAGAAATCCATCTTCTCAATATTATCATCATAAATTGTTTTGCAATAGAAGTTGAACCCCTCGCATGAAATACAATTTCTAACTTTTATTCTAATTGAATCTCTCTCTCTATGTATACTAATATGAGTCTTGTGTGCAGTGCACAAGTAAAAGATATCCATTAATATTTATAAATTAAAAATTCTTATTAAGTAATATTTATAAATTAAAAATATAGAATCAATATGTAATTGTAACAATAGATTTTTTAAAAAACATAAAATTTTTGTACAACTTGAATATATTTCAATCAAACGAGATTGCAGTTACAATCTCTATTTATCTCCTCTGATTCTTCTTTTCATTGATTTGGGTTTGAGATCTTGAAAGATGGATTTGACGATTGAATCTCCTTCATGATTGAGATTGAATTTCTCTAACATTAATTTGTTTGGGGGTCGAATGACTTTTTTCCGTATTAAATATCAGGTCTTGACTTGATTGAAGAAGACTTCTTTGAACACTTGATTCTTTGATCTTCTTGAAAGAGGGATTTTGAGCGTACTGCGAAGGTTGCCTTCTTGTCCATCGAGCGTACTTCGAAGGTTGCCTTCTTGTCCATGGAGCGTAGATTCCGGATTGAACGTCGATTTCTAACTTGAACGTGTTTGAATCTTCAAGAACGTCTTCAAATCTTCAAGAGAGTTCTTGAGAGCTCTTGAACTTGAGACTTTAATTTATGAGGTAAGTTTGATTTATGAGGTGTTGTGGCATTGAGGATAGACCTATTTATAGGTGTAGGAGAGATAGTCTTGAAGAAAAAGACTTCAATTTGATTGGTCCTTCATGATTTGACTCTTTCATTCTCTTATCCTAATCTCTTATTTATCATAGATTTATGTCCAAAAAAATAAAGACATTAATTAATAAAATATTAAAATTTTGATGTCTACAGTTATACAATTACCTATTTTAATTTATTGAAAATGTTATATAAATTTTAAATTGTACAAAAATTACATAAAAATGTCTATTTAAAAATAAGTACACAACATGTGTGGTGCACATATGAAATAACTGATAATAAATCACATATATTCGTTTCAAAATAAGTATCATTTTAAAATTTTTATTCAGAAATTCGATTTGACTATAATGTGATTCCATAAAATAGTTATTTTGGTAAAATGTTATTATATATATAACAACCTATGTGAATAAACAGTTTTTGTATAAACTACTCAACTAAAAAAAATTAAGTAGTTGAGTAATATATTAAACTATAAATAATTTATTATTTCGTTTACGTCCAAGTTGATATTGACCTGTAAGTTATCGAGTAATTTATTAAATCATAAATAATTGACTATTTCGTTTACGTCCAAGTTAATATTGACCCACAAATTTGTTGGGACCTATGAGGATCTCGATATGCACAAATCACGGACAAACATTCAAACATAAACCTATGCGCAGCGGATCTAAAGGTTTGATGTAGAAAACTTACGGCTTAAAATTTATGTAGATCTGGCTGGCCCGAACAGATGACCGCAAATCAAATTTTCTCGGAATCGAACAAACTT